TTCTTTACTAGAAGAGCAGGAAACAAGACACTAACATACGTAATTAGAGAGGTGAACCAGATTGATCGAAAACATAGTCCGACTTCCCTGTGACCCGCCTCCACGTTCTCAAGTAGTGCTTGGGACTGTCAACTTCTTCATCAGTGACTCTGCAAGTGCAAACTCTCCAACGGTTAGTGGGTTCAACCCGGACTCACCAAAAATGATATGATTGCAGTATCGACTCAGAAACACACCCCAAGTTTGCTTCAGCGAGGGGAATGGAGTACCTCTCTATATCACCTCTACTCCGGCCCAAAGAATGCTGGTCCTCAGGTTGGACTCTGCTAGCACTATTCGCCAATCCCTCTGCTCTAATGGGATGGCTAACACTCTCTGGGTTGCTACGTCCAAGCTGTCCCTGCTCTGCCCAGCCCGATTGAACTCAAGCTCTGCAAACAAAAAACACAATCAAGATTTAGTAATCAAAAGTATGAAAGAAACAACTAAGTTCTCACTAGTAGCTCGCCATCCGATCGGGATCTCGCCCTGGCCTCTCTCTCCAAAAATAGCTTGACCCCTCAGGTAGAAATATCGGTCCTTCCAGTTCTTATCACTGGACCGTAGGTCGGTCACCAAGTGAGACCGATCATGCCTCAAGTTCAACAAGTAACAACCCTTCTCTTTATTGTTCTCTTTCAAGAAGTACGAGTACAACAGCTTGTGCAGCCTGACCTCACTTGGTTCCGAACACAGAGGTCTTCCAAACCATTAGCAGTCTCCAAGCATTCGGCATAAGCTGAGACGGGGTAATCATGAAGTGGTTGAGTACTTCCCACACGAGGCGAGGGACGGGCAACCTCAACCCATTATGAAACCACTTCTCGTAAACACTGATCCAGCCCTTTGCCTCCTAGTCAACCCGCTCGTACGACTACGGCATCCGGACATCGATCAAACTCGGAATGTGATACAAGGTCCAGATGCGCCACACATCATTATCTCTTAGCACGGGCAGATAATCTCTAGTCAAAATACCGCTGCCCTGTCGGCTTGGCCCTTCCTTAGAGCCACTACCAGAAGAGGATGGACTACCAACTCCTTTGTAGTCTTCCCCACTTCCCCCATGCCTACCCAAACCACTCGGGCTGGGAGTACTTGTACCTGGGGCAGCTACACTAACTCTAGTTGGCACCCCAATCGGGACACCCTCTTCAGGCATCATCACTATGGTGGGGGCACGTCCATACTCATCCCCAACATCCACCCCAATCTCACTTGAGCTTGCTGATTCGGTGTCTGACATGACGACTCAATCGCCCAGCCCGACCGACCGACCAATTGACTCCGTCCTATCTTCGGAATTCCCAAAAAACTAATTGTCAAAGAACCACTCGCCCTGAGTGAGCAACCGACCGAAGGAAGATACTCCACACAACTGTCGCTAGCCCTTCAGCACCGTTTGACCTACTCGACAACTCGTCAACTCCTAAACATCGGTTGACCTTTGCTATCGACCGACTGGCCAGATCCAACCTTTGAAACTCAAAGAGGCTAAATGTAAGATAGTCGCTCACCCCACCTAACCGACCGATTTAACCTTACTCTTCGAGTCTTAAATGTTAAGTGATCGTTCACCCCGAGCTACCGACCGAATCAGAACAGAACAACCAATCGCCCTGTAACACCCGTCAACCAATTTATCAGATCCTAAACCTGGTCGACCCTTGCTATTGATCGGCATGACCCCAGGTTCAACAAAGGTTTTCTTCGCTCGCCCCAGGCGACCGACCCACTTCCAAGCCCAAACCTAGGAGTCTACTCGCTCTTGCTCACCAATTCACCAACTTAAAATCACCCACTCGGTCTGGATGACCGATCGCCTATTCAATCCACTCTGCACGCCCCCTTACCACTCAGTCAAACAGACCGACCGAACCAAACAATACTTAATTAGACTTCATCTTCCCGATTCTGTCCAAAACGCCCAGAAAAACACCAAAAAACCCGCCAACTTGCTGGAAACACACCGACAATCCAAAAATCTGAGCCTATTCTAGAAAACCAAAAGGCCAACACTTCTAAACTCCTCAAAACCAATCAAAACTACTCAAAATTTTCAAAAAAACTTCACCCTATCATCCAAAAACCCAACAAATAATGAAAACAAATCAAAAATCAGCCCAAAGGAAAGAAGATTTACCGTAAAACGATACACTGCAGAGAGAAGGCCACTACTGCTCAAAGAAACCAAAATGAAAAGAAAAAAGAAAGAGGAGAAAATTTTCAAAACGCAGATAAAGGGAAAATGGAAATGGAAGACGAAGAGTCTGCGAACTCGTTTTTATAAAAGAGATCTGACATGTGACGACCCGCGAGTGGCCGAGGATCAGAGAAACTCCTCGTTTTCCCACCTCCAGAACGAGGATGGATCAGCACCGTACGCGTGGCAGGAATCCAAGTAACCTAGGAAACTACAGTGTCATACGAAAGACACGTTCGATCGCTCGAGCACCCCGGCCGAGCCAGCACATGACCGCCAAAGTGGACCCAACATGCACCCAATCTTCACAAGCTCAGGAGGTCCTCCCAGTTAGCCGATGAGCTTGGAGTGGCCTGACCTGCACTCGTTCTCCAGACGACCAAACTAGGATGCCTCGCTCATTTGTTCTTCCGTAGCGAACGAGTAGTCAACCCCTGGTCGAGACCCGCATTTTACATCTACTCGATCGCCCATGTACTCCAACACCGAGCGAACCTTCAATTCATTATGGTCCCTAACTCAGTCGACCTGGCATGCCGAGCAAACACCCCGGCTATAGTACTACAGCTCAGCTTTCTAGTCGGTCGGACGTACCGAGTGAGCGCGTGAGCCCTCGGAGCCTGGTTGTCTCTTTCCCTTCGGCCCCTCACACCGATCAAGTACACCACTTTGTAATGATGGCGTACTCCAGATCAAGAATGGATACCGAACGACACCCGCCCAAGAGTCACCTGCAACGAATCGGATTATTCATGCCGACAATCGTTTGTCCAGGAAGGAAGACCGAGCGCACCTCGATCGCTACCTACTCTCTGACTTAAGAAACTCTTAACTCAGAGAGTAGGGGACAAACTGTTAGGGCCAAAAATCGTCCTGGGCCCAAATAGGAAAACAGGACCACTGGTAAGGGAGAGACCAGGCCCAATCCCAAAGAGGCCCAAGCCAAATTAGTGCCATTTGATACGAGATATGGCCTGCCCAAACCATCTGGGCACGGGCCTCCCAGTTCCAGCTCACCTCCTGGGCCAATAGGCGAGTTCAGAGCCCATGACCCCCTGATCACTTTCCTGTTCCTGTTCAATCTCCTATTCGAAGCCACCTTCCTGATCAGAATCACTTTCCTATCCGGACACTGGAAAGACAGCTTACCACGACCCTAATTCTTCTAGGGTTTGCATCAGAGTCACATTAGGACTCCTACTCCCACCAGGATTGGGAGACCAGACAGTCACTATATAAATAGGGGTCAGCCCTCTCACAAAGGACACACTACATTACATCTTCACACCCGAAGCTCCTACTCGAGAGCTTTACATAACCGCCGTAGTCATAGTCTCCGACTAGACTTTCGGTAACCTCTCTATCCCCTAGCCCTCACTATACTAGCCTCTTTCAGCCTTGCTGACTTGAGTGTCAGAGTGCCTACGGCAAACACCACCCTGGTGTTTCTCGTTCGCTTCACGCATTTGTTTTTCTACATGTGCAGGTGTAGCGGATCGCTAGTGGCCTCAAACTCACGGGATCAAACCCTCCTTCCGTACAGGTAGATTTTTACGTCTACAATTACCAATTGAATATTCATCATCAGAATCAGTCAGAAATCAGCTAAAAATAAAAAACTTCAGCTTTGTGGTGACTGACAATCGGTAGGAAATCAATTGCCAGAGTGAGATGGGTTTTATAGAGAAGAATTGGAGGATAAAATGGTAGTGACGGAAAGAATTTTTATTGTCGAAATCAGCTTTGGGTATTAATGAAATATAAACTTTAGGTGAGAAAGTAATATTTTGAAACTTTTTGAGAGGAAAAAAACCAAAAAAAGTCGTTTACTTTTATTATATATGAATAATGTTAGGTCCACAACTTTTGTTATAACCCTCAACGTGGCAACTCAACTCGTAAAATAGCCCCGCTTACTTATATGGGTGAGCCGACGATATTATTGATTATATATATATATATATATATCAATTATCTCTTGGAGATTTAAAATTAAAGTTTTCCGAGCGGCCCATATGTGTTTGATAGCAACTTATAAAACAATCCCGTAACTTGTAACTGTTAACTTCTCCGTCCCCAGTAAAACTCTATATTCACATGTAGAGGATAAGAGGAATTAAATCAAACAAAACTCTATTATAAATAACAGAATGAGCCCATCTACTTTCCAATGGTAAAGCTCAAATCTTCCAAAATAATAACCACCTCTCTCGCACGTGTATATGACCAACATAAAAAAGAAAAATTACAAAGAGAGAAAAAAAAAATGAACAAACTAATATAATAATATAATCTTGCACTGGAAGTCTGCGTCAGCTTTGAAGTCTGGATGGAGTCTAGATGGATTTGCTCAGCCCACTCCAACGAAAATTATAAAGTTGAAAAAGACAGCCAACCCAGATATTCCCAATCCACCTTGAAAAAATTCTTTTTTCTCCAATTCAAAATTGTCTTTTTCTATCCAAACATGCATTGGATTGTATTCTCAAATCCACTTCAGCTTCAGTCTCTCCAATGTAGCTAGAACAAACCATTACTTCTGTACTAAGACCATTTGCACGATGCAGAACATTTTTACCTTTGAATTCCCCAGCCACTTCACCAACCAGAATGAATTTTTCAGGTTCTGTTTGGTGTTTATCACAATAACTACTAGTAATATACACTGTTTCCTTTTCTCCATTTTCTACAAGACTGTACATTGCTACCTAACTACTCACTTTCTTGTTTAGCTTATTGAAAATTTTCTTATTTGGGGTTTATGAAGGCTTTTTTTTTTTTTTTTTTTTTTCCATTTTTGGGTGGGTGAATAAAGGCGTTAAAAATGGGTTTTTGAAAGGTGAGGTGGATTCTAATAGAAGGTAAACACAAAACGCCTACAGGGTCCAGAGTTATTTTTAGAAATGCTCCTTGTGGAATTCAAACTTGGTGGAACCCTTTTGATTGAAATCATAGCAAAGTTTGCCGAGTTCCTTAGCCAAGACTGGCGCCCCACAGTAAAAAACTCCTGCTCCAGAAAAGTAAAACCATAATGAGATTGGAACAGAGAAAAAGTTTATTGTTTATACAAAGCCGATGGAGATGCACTTACCGATTGTTGCATTACAATGCTTGGAACTTAATTTAGAGAGAACCTTCTTCCAATTAGGCCTTGCAAAATGGGTTCTCACCTAATGATAGAATGCGGAAACTGTTAGAATCTACTTACTTAGCTTGAACTATAGAGGTGAACATCAAAAGATACTATAAAAAGAAGGGCCATCGAATGGGTCCCTGACTGTTTTAGGTTGTTGTCAAGGTCTTACTCTGGTCCCAGAAACAATGTCAACTCCATTCTTGGCATGGTTAAGTGCTTGGACCATGGTGATAAGAGCTGATCGAGCATCACCTTCCTCATACACACTGGTCAAGTAGTTGTGCATCTCAATGACACCCTGAAGTCCACAACAACCAATTTAAAATCCACCAACTTTAAATCAGCATTAAACAGAAACCTTAACGTAATTGGAAAGCATATTTTTTTTACCCTCTGATCAAGCTCTGCAATTTCATTCATGACTCCTTTGAACCAATCAAATGAACCTTGTTCCCTTGTTACCCAATAGAAGTATGCATTAGTGGTCCTCAGAGGCCTCTTCCGTTTTGGAGAAACCCTATTGTGAGTAGAGTCATTGCTGCCAACACTCATGTCCGATGTCCTACTAAGGTCTGAGGCCGAATCCTGAAGAAGAGCAATCAGAAAATGAGATATGATTCCATTTAAAAGCACTATAGGAACTATGACTAATCAGGAAACTTTAAGATGTAAAAGAAGATGAGTGGTAGTTTAATCGGCATTGAAGCACTAATACTTACTGCTTGCTCCTCCTGTTTGACAATGTTATTAAGCAAATCTTTTAGAACGCTGATGAATGGCGTTGCTCCAATCCCAAGACCAACAAGTAAGAGGACATCATAATTCCGGTAGTCTTGTGCTGGGGCACCATATGGCCCGTCTATTAAGAGCTTTGGCAGACTGTTACCAGATGAAATGATGCTTAATAAATAGATCAATAACCTAATGCTCTGCCTTAAAAGGAGAAGAAAATATAATTCCCAGCAACTATAGACATATGTATACGGTATACCTTTTCTTCGTTGATTCATCAGCCCTAAGAAGCCCACTTTTCCCAGCTACAGGAGGTTCACATGCCTCGGAGAATACCCTTTTAAGCTCTTGAGTCCAGTCTCCCAACTGCCGGATGTGAACACTAAGGTAGTCATCGCCAGGAGCAGAGGTGATTGAAAACGGATGCCTGACATTCAAAATTAAGCAGTTAGTACCAAAAACTGACTAGCAGAGTATTGTTGTAAGCACATTAGATGATCTTTTCCAGTTCTCCTCACTAAACCTTTCTAGCAATTGCTATTATAGAAGCAGTAGGTACAGCCATCTGCAATTCTACAAAGCATGATATAATTCAAGAAATTTAGAGGTGACTTACCATTCAAAAGGAGACACAGCAGGGCACTGAACAAACATGTATTGTCCACTCTTGTACCGAAACTGTGGAGGCTTAGACATTTGCAATGTGAGAACATTCCCGGGATATATGGCAACCTAAGCATTTTTCAATAAAAGAAACAAAAAAGAAAAGAAAAGCATTAACTAATGTTAGAAGAAGAAACTTAATCAGGATAGCAACCAGAGTAACTTCTAGTGTAGTAGGCCTAAAAGTTCATAGTTAGATGCACATAACCACATTACATGTCTAAATATTCAATGATTAGAAGGCGTATTCAATAAATATTGTACTAACCTTAAGAAGCCGGACAGTAGAGAAGCCAGAACGAAAGAATCTCAGAGTTCTTTCTCCAGCATATACAAGAACTGGAACGGCAAGATACATCCATGTCTGCATACAAGAACTCAAATGTCAAAAATTACAATGCTTATAGTTCTGGAGATATTAGAATTCAGTTAGAATAGAATCATTTGTATACCGTCTTTTTGTACCATCTATGAACCATGTAAAGGAAAACGCCATGAATGACGAGCAAGATGTATACAATCACGAATAGATGGTGTGAATACCAGAAGGCATTGAAACCTGTGAGCCTGTCAAAGGGCTTGGGTAGCTTAATTTGGTTCCGCCTGAACCAGCGAGTTGCTAGGGTAAATGCAATCGCCATGAATATCACCATCAGGATTCCAGTGACACCCTCTGGCCCTTTAGTCAGGTCCCAGTATGTGGGTTTATGTTCCCCGAAGTCATGGATTAGTTTATCGTAATGGTCTTCAGAAGCATTTATAAGCCTCGGAAAATCACATGCAAGGTGGTTACCAGCATGGAGAATGACACCAACTACAATTGCTGCAGCAATCGTCTGCACGTATGTCATAAAGTATGAGAAATGTAAGAATCAGATTATAAGATATTCACATAGAATATAACAGTGTACAGTCTCCACTAGCAAGCAATTTAAATATGTCAAATTGTGGAGTTACAAATCACAGTGTAGTTCTGTGAATTCTTAAATGAAAACATTATCCACCGGTTTTTACAAGGGAATTCCAGTGACAACAATTACATTCTACAAATAGTCATAAAGGCATCATATGTTCATCAAACAGTAGAATAGGTGAATATTGGAGGCTTATAAGAAACCACAAACATTGATTAGGATGGGCACCGACGTCAGTTGAAGCAATAATAGAGATATAAGGTAAAATCTAGAAAGAAGACTTGAATTAGAGTGATTGTGTGGAGACATAAGAGCATCCACGACTAAAACACCAAAAATTTGAGGTCCATATCACTTTTCTGTGAATTTGTCGGATCAGCTTTTCATAAAGCACTCATTTTCTCGTTTCTCTTTTTGGTGCATTTCCATAACACGTTTATTGTAAGGGAAAAACTGTTCGAAGCTCCACGTACAAACAATGGCAGCCAAATCCATTTTTCAATTATTTTATTTATTTCATTAAAGTAGAAAAAAAAATAAAAAACTAATTCCCTTTGATGAAAGAAAAAGAAGAGAAAGTTAGTTGGTTGTCAATTTTTTGCTGCGTGTAGAGGCAATATGAGTGTCTTTTGTATTCTCTCTTCAGGAATAAATAAGTGGGCCTATTCTTTTTCATGTTGGTGACCGTGATCAATCATAGTGTTGACTTTGATCAGAGAATTTTTGTGAGGGACCCAAATTCTTAAGACGCAATCGTATGAAACAAGCAACAATAATAGGACTCACACACCTTATGGAAGTTGATGTTGTCGTCAAAAGGCACGAAGAAACCCAATTTGGTGGACCTTAGCCACGTAATAGTATTTCTACACACAGGCATAAGGACAATAGCCATGTTGAACTTCAATGTCTCAGCTGCACCCTTTGCAGTAAGAAGACAATAACCCATGACCTGAAACGCGGCTTTCTGTTTGTATTCAAAAAACTTCCATGTAAATAACCCAATCAAGATCAAAATCCACAATGACAAGACCCAAAGCCTCCTCCAATTCTCTTGCAAATAGTACAGCAACTCTGCGCTCATCCTTTTTAATCGGCTCCTCTTTCTTAAACCTTGCAGGTTTTGACTCAGGGCTTGACTCGTGTAACTCAGTGCTTGACTGTAGTTGAGATACGTATCTTTTTGTAACAGAAGCGTCTCTAGTTGCCATAGCTGCATATCATTGTCATAGATTCATCACCCATCAAAAATAATCAAAGAAGGAAAAATTACAAAATTAACAGAGACTCTAGATAATGCAAAGCGACAGGAGCATCTAGAATTTGTTGATCATGTCAACCTATTTACATTACAGTTGTTGGCGACTGATGCACTTGCACGCGTGATCATGTAGTGGGTATGAACAGTACGCGTATTGATGAGAACTATATAACAGAAACTCACATGGGAAATCAACTTTGTCTGTCATGACTCGGGACCGCCACTTCAAACGGTCATTAATAGAATGCAGTAGGTTTGGACCTCACCACAAATAATGGCATATACATGTATATTATTTTCAAACAGTTAATTAGAAAAAATGTGCATTGATTCAACTGTTTGGATATTTAATTAGCAAGATAATTAAAGGTTTCATAATTTAAAGAAGGAAGAAATTAGAATATAAACTAAAAGTATGCAGATTATTGTTCTACCTCACTATACCTAACTAGTATTTTTATACCTTAATGTTGTAAGGCAAGTGATTACGTTGACTCAGATATGAAAAGGGAAGGACAAAAACGAGGAATTTAAAAAAAAAACAGTTCACCTACCAAAAAATCTTATATCAACATAAGATAAGCTCGTTTTACCAGAAATTATTGATATTTATATAGTTATTATTTGTTTCTGTTTCATTCTTTCTTCGTAAACGGTTGAACAAACAACAGCCCAAATGTTTTGGGACTATTTAGTCATTTACATTTGTGGCCTAACAATGGACTTTGAAGAAAGAGTCCAATTCAAATTATTAAATCTATCTCTTAATTTATAAATAAAATATAATATTAAAGTAAACCATAAAACATATGGTCGTGGAATTATCACTGTACCCCACAAAATAGTGTTAGATAAAAGCGCCCACCTCAATGTATCCAAGTCTTTCAGGATCTAGTTCTTCCATGATCAAAGCTGCGTATTCCTCTGCTTGCTCCTTCAATCTTGATAACTTATTTGCAGAAGCACTTAGCATAATAATCTATCAGAATATCATTAAAAAAAAGGGGAAAATCAAAATATGAAGAGACCAAAAAGCCCCCACCAAACCCACTAAAAAACTTAATAATCACTTTTGGTAAAAAACAAAATTATTATTAAAATGGGTTCGCCATCTGTCCAAAACTTTGAACTCTTGAAGGTCTTGAATGAATATCCAATAATACTCAAAAGATAAGATGGGTGATTGATGAGAACATGGGTAACGTCAAAGACTAAGAAAACTCTAACATTTTAATTAATTCCTTTTATTATATGTATATTGGAGTTGTTAGTATTAGAATTTTATGAAATTTTAAGGTCACCGAATCCTCGCCTAACGTTTGATTATTAAAACCAAAAATGACAATCTGTAAGCTATAATTCCCAGTAACTAGCTTATTTTACAAGTATATTAATCCAGTCACTTCGGTTTTCTCTAATCATGAAAAGGTCGGCGTATTAATTTTTTAATCATCAAAATAGAATAGAGTGTTGACCAATTTATGCACTAATTTAATACGTTCGATTAAGCTAATTAATATTAATAAATATGAGTTAAAAATTATTAATTGAACAGAATATAATTTACCTCTTTTACTTCTTCTTCAGCAATTCTACCATCTTCGTTCTTGTCCACCCTGAAACGTAACATAATAATACTAGTGTAAGATACTGTTTTTTTTTTTTTTTTTTTAATTTAAAAAAAAAAAATTAATTGTTGATTAATTAGACCGATACTAGAGGATTAATAAATAATATTAAGTTGAAAAAAGTTTAATTAATTAATTAATGCATACATGTCGAAGAAGATCTGGAGCCGAGAATCGAAACTTTGATCTGTAATTTGCGACCAGTACTCGTAAAGTTCATCTTTGCTAATCTTCTCAACTTTTAACCTTCGTCTTCTACTCAAAGCATCAAAAAGCTCCAATGCAAACTCTTTTGAATCTCTCATTCCTGTAAAAACAAGAAGAAAAATGTTAATGAACTAAAAGTAAGAAAACATTAAATGTGAAGAAAATAAACTTTCAAACTCAAAAGAACAAGAACCTATGCATTGTGCGAAATCAGCACGATAGAGGAAACCGTCTTTAGCGAGCTTATCAAAATTTTTTTGAACTTCATTCCACGCATTGGTTTTAGTACTATTACTTATAAACCGTAATCCACGAAGCGCTTTTTGTGCACCGGAGCGAGTCCGATCCAGCTGAGCTCGTTGTTTTCTCAAAGCTCGAGCCGCCAAGGCCGAGTCGAATCCACTCCCGCCACCTCCATTCTGAGCCGACGAAGAAGTCGAAGTCGACAGCACACGAGAGGCGTGTCCATGGCTCCACGAGAACCTCTTCAGCTCCGCTCTCAACTCCTGCGAAAACTGCTTGGCTTTAGCCACGGCTTCCGCTTTTAACTCCTGAGAAAACTGTCTCAGCCTATTCGAAGAACTTCGTTTTATCGTCGGCGATCTCGAGGCCGAGGACGGTGTCTCGGTTCCGAGTCCGTCGTCGATGTTAATGACTTTTGCCGCCGGCTCCACGCTTCTGAGTACAATTGTGTCATCCTCCTGAAGATCAATCGTTACCTCAACATACTCCTCAGCCGATGTCGACTCAGTTCCAGGTGAAGATGCTAAACTCACAACGGCGTTGGCAGGCACGGTGTCAGAGGCCCAACGGCGTTGGTGATTAGCGAGGCCTCTCATTATTTGACAAGATAATGAGAAAAAGGAAAAGTAAACTTGATGGATTATAATAATAAATTAATGGCGATATTGTACGTTGTAAGTTGTTGATGATTTGGTTTAGTTTATAGAGTATGCGAGGGAGAGTGAAAATCTTATAGTCGAGTAATCGAAGAACGCGGAGGGAATCTGAGAGAAAAGACACGTACGCGTTTATGGTGAAAGGCTTTTTCAGAGAGAAAGAAAAAAAGAAAAGCAGGAAAAAGACAAAGGTTTTGCCTATAGAGAATAAATGGACCCAAAACCAACGCTGGATATAGAAAGAGAGACGGAGACTTATAGGCCTATATATATATATATTTTTTTAATTGCTTTTAAGTAAAATTGTAATTAGAAAATTGGTAAAGCTAAAGTTAGCACAGAGAGAGACAGAGAGAGAGAGAGTGGTGGTCTGGTGGAGTAGTGAATTTGATTCACTGATTTTGTGAAATTTTGAAAGAAGTAGACACGAGGAGGAGGAAGAAAAGGGCAAAACTGTAATTTACTTCATTTGAGTTTAGAAGAGTGTGGGACCGTCGATGATTGGGTTAATTGTTTTTAATCTTTTGTAGTCGACGGCAGGGATTGTCCGAGTCAACAATCATTTACTGTTGATATTTTCCTCTGGGTTGAAACATTATATAATTCCAGTTTTAGATGTTCCCATTACTCGTCAGGTTTCAGGTCAACACAATGGCTATGTAAAAGCTGAAGATTACGATCCTAATCCTGTTATGTACACAGTAGAATTTAGAATAAACTACTGTCACATGTAAGCCCTCGTAATATAGCATCAAATATTTACGAACGCAGCCAAATAATTCAACTGTGTTTCATCATTTTCAGTACGTATATATATATACCAGATATTATTCACCGGCCTAAAGTAAAATTAATCCGTTTTAATAAGAAACTTAATTATATATTAATATTCAATATAATTATAGCTTTTTTTTTTAACTAGGGTGTTTATTTTTAAATGTTCAAATCAGTTTACGCATATCTTTACTAATTATGAGAAAGATATCTTACAACAATCCATCAAAGATAATACTTTTGTGTCTAATGAAAAATCGTATCTGAAACTATATGTCGAAGTCATGCACAGGCAACACAGCTAGGGATGAGACACAAGCCAAGTAGCTCACGAGCTATTCAAGTTCGGCTTGTTGAAAGTTCGAATTCGACTCGAAGCCAGTCGAGCCGAGCTCGAGCTCAAGCAGCCAGTGAACAGTATCGAGCTGAGTTCAATCTAGGCTGAGCTCGGCTCGTCAGGCTCGCGAGCTTGTTTAAGCTCATTTAAGTGGCTCCTTTAAGCGAGCTCGAGCTCGAGTGCACCTTAATACTCGTGAGCTCCAGCTCGAACACCGATGTTGAAGTTCGACTAAGCTCGGCTTGAGTTCGAGCTTGTTATTGTTCATCACTAACCAAGCTTAAGTATTGAGATACTCAACTCGGCTCTTATACATCCCTAAACACAGCCCCTTGGTTCGCCCTTATCGGGCTACCCATAGGTGAGAAACTAGGGCATTTAATGAAAGCTTTGACTATTTATAATGTAGTACAACTAAGAAAACTAACAATTGGAATCAAATTCATATATATATATATCGACAGCTGGTCTTTATAACAACCTTATATATATATAGTCATTAATTATTTGATTAATTTGTTTTGAAGCTATTAAACTAACTTATACTAGTTTAGTTGAATTTAATACTAACAATGTGAAGATTACAGATGGGGTTTCTAGAACGAAAATGACTTGGCCCTAATTAACAAAGGAAACAATTAATTAACATAACAACATTACAATTCCAGAGAATATTGAAAGTGATCTGCATTATACTAATACGATAAATTAAATTGTATTCAAAATATGAACCTCTAGCAGCCAGGGCTGAACGTTTAAAATTGATGTAAAGTTTTTAAGTTCATGATTAAACTATATTGTTTGATTAATTCGTTCAAATCAAACGTGGTTTATATATATATATCACATTTGGAGTCGACCAGACCCGGTATTTCTTTCCAATCAGATATAACTTGTCCCGGAAGATATCTCTACAATATTCTAACTATTCTGGAGAAATTAAAGGAAGAAGAACAAAAGTTCATTGTCAACTTGACAGACATCATTCACCAACCGGACTAACTGATCAAATTTATTTGATTAATTAATGTCCACTGGATGGTAGCTGTTCGTCATACAAACTCAACAGTCCATTTCTTAAACAGATATTAACTCTGCTTATTAATAATTTACCAGTTACAGAGGAGATTACATAATCACTGATACCTCCGATTTGGTAAATCATTTTGGACCGATGAGGAGCTTTCATGTGGGTTACTTCAATACATTCTAAAGATAATCTTCTTTAAGTCTCTCTACCTTTTAACGAGCTAGGGCAAGAAAGAAGAATGGATGGGCAAAGGACTCAAAGTTTAAGCAGTTTACCCACCTGCTGAAGTTTTTATATTCTTCCACTCGGCCACCAAACTATTGCTGTTTGGGTTCTTCTGGTGCAAATCAATTGTGGTCATCAGCTTCAGGTCTTTACGTGACACATGGCTTGCATGCTTAATTGCCATTTGTATATGCTTTTAGAATGACGTGTCTCATCCTCATCAATATATACTCAAAACCACAGAGAATTTCAGCCACCATTAATTCTCTCCATCTTTCCTTGAGTAGAGATTAGACTCCTTTCTCTGTAAAAACGTTTCCCATTCAACACGAGAAGACCATATTGTAAAGCACTGAAGCTGTAGTTTTGTTTGCTGAGAGTCAAATCTAATAGTTGATATAAAATTCGTTTAAAAAATCATTTAAATCATATAAAAAAAATGTTTTCCAAATGATAGGTTTTAGAATACAATTGTTGACCAGGAAATTAAAAATATTCAAAGAAATTAGGTCTAACTTATAATACACTTCATAATTAATTCCCTAAGAAAATCTTTCTATATCAACTGTTGGTTTCATGTCATACAGTAAAAATTTGTTTGATAAATGAGGTTATAAAGGGCCAGGCAATCCTATCAACATGACAGATATCGAAGAACAAAAATAAAGACGTTCACGCATGGCAAAATAATATGACCCTAGCACATTTATATCGTGATGACTGAAGATATGCTTTCAAGTTTTAAAGGAGGATTTCGAACATTTGTTTCATTTCATTAAATTTTATTGAAAACTCCATTGACAAATAAGGGAGCAACTGCAACAACCAAAACCTCATTTAAGCACTAGAATCGACAGAATTCCCTTTCATTTGCCTAAGGATTCACAGACAGATTAAATCGAACTAGATCTGATGTTCAATATAAGTGTCATTAAAAGAAGTGTTACTGATTGATGGACAGGTCAATTTGTCACTTCATATAGGCTAGCCAGGGAACATTACCCCTTCATTTAATCAGGGTATATTAATATAGATTAACGCCCATAATTATCAGAAATGAATATATTTTCATTTTCTTGAATTAGATTTGGAACAGTGAGATTGGTTTCTGATGAATAGTTAGGCTTCTAGAAGATGTTTTACGTATAAAGACCAGAGTTGCTATCCATGGGTCCGCCACCAAAGCTAAAGTCAATCACCCACCAACTCTTGTATCTGAATCACACTTGAAATGGGGTTTGTCTTTCATTAATGCCGCTGACAATTTCCTCCGCATGCAATCAGTTTTTGTTTTCTAGTATTTGCCCATTGGCCTCTCTAAAATGCAGTGGCTTTGATAATTACATTAGTCATTCCTTTCTTCTTGTAACTTTCCTCCAATAACACTATTATATATTCCCAATTTTTATATATATATATCTGGACCCATATACGTCCGAATAATGTGAGTTTTGATTTATAATTACCACTTATACATTAATATATTAAACTCGTTTGAAATGACTCGTTATTTTAAGAATTTTAGACTAATCTGCTTTATGGTATAGGCATATAGCAGCCTTAGAGATGTTCTGAAGTCGTTGGAATACAATATATTATATGTTTTTGTATATCTAGAATATTATATTATGGAACCCACTTGAATCATCAGCTTTCGGAGGGCATCTACTACAGAAAAATCTGAATAATACTTGGAAATTGGAATCGAATTGTGTAACACGTTCAGAAATTAGAACAAGTTAATTATATTCAAAAAGTAGGGGCCCTGAAAACAATATATGCAAGACAATGAGACATGCATGTCTCTTCACTATATGAACTTTGAACGTCCAGCTAAAAAACATGTGAAGGACTTTGAGTCCTAGACGAAAAAAACTTTTATCGTTCAGTGGAAAATATATTTTTTTTTTCTTTGATCTTCAAAGCTGCAGTTGTTTTCAAAGTAAACTCCCAGGTTGATTTGGGTCCAATTTCTCTTAAACATACCTTGCTTCATACGCTCCACAAGGTGTTTCTTTTTCATGAAGATCAATCATATGCGATGAAGAAAACTAAAGAATTTGATCAGGTCCAGAATTAAAAGGTTCAAAAATCCACCACATAAAAAGTTTCTGGCAAGGTATGCACCATGTCGTTGCCATGAGGTAAGCGAGTTCCACTAACAAAATAATCTTTGATTCCCTTACCACCATACCAACCATATAAATTCATTGTCTTTTTGACGTTTCCACAAGTGCTTCAGTCGCATCAAGACTAAAGATTTATAGCTTCATTTAGATCTTTCTTACAATGTTAATCGTTCAAGTTTAAGAAAATCCCATCTGTAATGTTAAAATCTTTGTAGTGGTTAAGAGTTTAGACCATAGAATTGATATTGATTTCATAACTTGTTTATTAGGTAAGAAAAAAATGTACATAGTAGAAAAAGATGTATCTATATATATATATATAAAGCTGATTGCTTAGCCAGAAAGGAACTGTAGCCTTTCAATAGTAGAAAAAAATTGGACTTTTAGTTATGTGAATAATATCTTGAGTGATCAGAATATGCCAAATGATAATAATAATTGGTAGGGAGTTGATCGAAACAGAGAATGCTAGGACCCTCTAAGAAATTGACAAGTTTATTAGAAGAATGCACTACTGGTTCATGTCAACAGGCTGG